AGGGTCAGTCCTTGGACTGAAGGAATGGTCAAACAAATGGCTACTAAAGTTCAACCCAAGTAAGTGTAAGGTAATGAAAGTAGGAGGAGGAAACAGGAGGCCAGAAGCTGGATACCGAATGGGAGATGAAGTTCTTCACAAAACGGACAGAGAGAAAGATCTAGGAGTTGATATCACACCAAACCTGTCTCCTGAAGCCCACATCAAAGGAATAACATGGGCGGCGTATGCGAGGCTGGCTAACATCAGAACTGCCTTCAGGAACCTGTGTAAGGAATCTTTCAGAACCTTGTATACCACATATATAAGACCAATCCTGGAGTATGCGGCCCCAGCATGGAGCCCGTACCTTGTCAAGCACAAGACGAAGCTGGAAAAAGTTCAAAGGTATGCCACTAGACTAGTCCCAGAACTAAGAGGCATGAGTTATGAGGAAAGGCTGCGGGAAATGCACCTCACGACACTGGAAGACAAGATTAAGGGGAGACATGATCACTACCTCCAAAATCCTTAGGGGAATTGACAGGGTAGATGAGGATAAACTGTTTAACACTGGTGGTACGCGAACAAGGGGACACAGTTGGAAATTACCCAAATGAGCCACAGGGACGTTAGAAAGAACTTTTTCAGTGTCAGAGTAGTTAACAAATGGAATGCATTAGGCAGTGATGTGGTGGAGGCTGACTCCATACACAGTTTCAAATGTAGATATGATAGAGCCCAATAGGCTCAGGAACCTGTACACCAGTTGATTAACTGTTTAGAGGCTGGACCAAAGAGCCAGAGCTCAACCCCGGCAAGCACAACTAGGTGAGTACACGAGTCTTGAAGACAGCTCCGTTTTCTATGAGGACAACACAAGCTGGCTGGACTTCGACCGGGACTCCCGCGGTAGTTGACTGTTGCCGGTGGTGGAGGAAGTGCGTCGCTCTGGGACCTCACAGTCTGCACTGGGCCCCTCTCTTTTGGGCCCCCTACGAACCGTGGGACCCCTCTCTTCTGGCCCAAATCGGGTCCACAAGGGTCCTCGTCTTCCGTTTCCCAATAAGCCCTCTTGAAACAGTTCTTTGTGGTCAATAGAGTCTACATAGAGTCATAGAGTTTTTGAGGCTTTTCTCCAATCCCTACCTCTCCCATCCCTCTTTCCCTCCCTCCCTCCCTCCCTCCCTCTCTCCCACCCTCCGTCTCTCCCTCCCTCTCTCCCTCTCTCCTCTCCCTCTCTCCCTCCCTCCCATCCCTCTCTCCCTCTCTCTCCCCCTCCCTCGCCCCCTCCCACCGGGGCCCCCTTCATCTCCCAGAAACAAGCAGCCCTGAGAGGGATCTTCTGGACCTACACAAACCCTGTGTCTGGACACGGTGATTTCTGTTTCACCCTGAACACCTGTCCACCACCATCCTGAAGGATCATCCACCAAGTGGACTACTCATGTGCCTTATCCTTCTCATCCACCAAGGACTGGATGCTAACCTCTCTCATCCACCAAGGAGTGGATACTAACCTCTCTACTCCACCAAGGACTGACTCTACCTCTCTTATCCACCAAGGAGTGGATGCTAACCTCTTATCCACCAAGGACTGGATGCTAACCTCTTTTATCCACTAAGGAATGGATGCTAACCTCTCTCATCAACCAAGGATTGTATGCTAACCTCTCTCATCCACCAAGGATTGTATGCTAACCTCTCTCATCCAACAAGGATTGTATGCTAACCTCTCTCATCCACCAAGGATAATGGATGCTAACCTCTCTCATCCACCAAGGGCTGGATGCTAATCTTTCTCATCCACCAAGAACTGGATGCTAACCTCTCTCATCCACCAAGAACTGGATGCTAACCCCTCTCATCCACCAAGGACTGTATCTAACCTCTCTCATCCACCTAGGACTGGATGCTAACCTCTCTCATCCACCAAGGACTGGATGCTAACCCCTCTCATCCACCAAGGACTGGATGCTAACCTCTCTCATCCACCTAGGACTGGATGCTAACCTCTCTCATCCACCTAGGACTGGATGCTATCCTCTCTCATCCACCAAGGACTGGATGCTAACCTCTCTCATACACCAAGGACTGGATGCTAACCTCTCTCATCCACCTAGGACTGGATGCTAACCTCTCTCATCCACCAAGAACTGGATGCTAACCTCTCTCATACACCTAGGACTGGATGCTAACCTCTCTCATCCACCTAGGACTGGATGCTAACCTCTCTCATCCACCTAGAATTGGATGCTAACCTCTCATCCACCAAGGACTGGATGCTAACCTCTCTCATCCACCAAGGACTGGATGCTAACCTCTCTCATCCACCTAGGACTGAATGCTAACCTCTCTCATCCACCTAGAATTGGATGCTAACCTCTCATCCACCAAGGACTGGATGCTAACCTCTCTCATCCACCAAGGACTGGATGCCAACCTCTCTCATCCACCAAGGACTGGATGCTAACCTCTCTCATCCACCAAGGACTGGATGCTGACCTCTCTCATCCACCTAGAATTGGATGCTAACCTCTCATCCACCAAGGAATGGATGCTAACCTCTCTCATCCACCTAGGACTGGATGCTAACCTCTCTCATCCACCTAGGACTGGATGCTAACCTCTCTCATCCACCTAGGACTGGATGCTAACCTCTCTCATCCACCTAGGACTGGATGCTAACCTCTCACATCCACCTAGGACTGGATGCTAACCTCTCTCATCCACCTAGGACTGGATGCTAACCTCTCTCATCCACCTAGGACTGGATGCTAACCTCTCTCATCCACCTAGGACTGGATGCTAACCTCTCTCATCCACCAAGGACTGGATGCTAACCTCTCTCATCCACCAAGGACTGGATGCTAACCTCTCTCATCCACCTAGGACTGGATGCTAACCTCTCTCATCCACCTAGAATTGGATGCTAACCTCTCATCCACCAAGGACTGGATGCTAACCTCTCTCATCCACCTAGGACTGGATGCTAACCTCTCATCCACCAAGGACTGGATGCTAACCTCTCTCATCCACCTAGGACTGGATGCTAACCTCTCATCCACCAAGGACTGGATGCTAACCTCTCTCATCCACCTAGGACTGGATGCTAACCTCTCTCATCCACCTAGGACTGGATGCTAACCTCTCATCCACCAAGGACTGGATGCTAACCTCTCTCATCCATTTTCAAACTGTGAGTCGCTTTTTAAATCCTTTTTCCTGCTAAAAAATGGTAATTGTCTATTTTTGTTCAGAAGAAATTGGCGATTTGTTTGTGTTTGAATAAATTAGTTTTCCTGTTTACATTTTCATGTAATTGTTTGATTAGAAGAATTTTTTTATTTTTATGTTTGAATATATTAGTTTCGTTGTTTTTATTAACTCGAAGATGCATTTCTTCTGTTTGTTTTTGGGATTTTGTGATGTAAATTTTTCTTCATATTTGTTATATCGTTTTTCCGCTTGATAAACTGTTTTTAATAGCTACATTTTGTTTAAATATTATTGATGGAATTTAACATATTAACGAGTGTGTTTAACTTGTTAGTGATGGTTCATCGTGTTAAGTGGTGTAATTAACTTGTTAACGTGTGTGTGTTTGTCTTGTTAACAGGCGTATTTAACTCGTTGTCTTGTGTGGGTATTGATGTCTTGTGTGAGTAGTGATGTCTTGTGTGGTTATTGATGTCTTGTGTGGGTATTGATGTCTTGTGTGGGTGTTGATGTCTTGTGTGGGTATTGATGTCTTGTGTGGGTATTGATGTCTTGTGTGGGTATTGATGTCTTGTGTGGGTATTGATGTCTTGTGTGGTTATTGATGTCTTGTGTGGTTATTGATGTCTTTGTGTGAGTATTGATGTCTTGTGTGGTTATTGATGTCTTGTGTGGGTATTGATGTCTTGTGTGGGTATTGATGTCTTGTGTGGGTATTGATGTCTTGTGTGGGTATTGATGTCTTGTGTGGTTATTGATGTCTTGTGTGGGTATTGATGTCTTGGGTGAGTATTGATGTCTTGTGTGGTTATTGATGTCTTGTGTGGGTATTGATGTCTTGTGTGGGTATTGATGTCTTGGGTGAGTATTGATGTCTTGTGTGAGTATTGATGTCTTGTGTGGTTATTGATGTCTTGGGTGAGTATTGATGTCTTGTGTGGTTATTGATGTCTTGTGTAGGTATTGATGTCTTGTGTGGTTATTGATGTCTTGTGTGAGTAGTGATGTCTTGTGTGGTTATTGATGTCTTGTGTGGTTATTGATGTCTTGGGTGAGTATTGATGTCTTGTGTGGGTATTGATGTCTTGTGTGGATATTGATGTCTTGTGTGGTTATTGATGTCTTGTGTGGGTATTGATGTCTTGTGTGGGTATTGATGTCTTGTGTGGTTATTGATGTCTTGTGTGGGTATTGATGTCTTGTGTGGGTATTGATGTCTTGTGTGGATATTGATGTCTTGTGTGGTTATTGATGTCTTGTGTGGTTATTGATGTCTTTGGTGAGTATTGATGTCTTGTGTGGTTATTGATGTCTTGTGTGGTTATTGATGTCTTGTGTGGGTATTGATGTCTTGTGTGGGTATTGATGTCTTGTGTGGGTATTGATGTCTTGTGTGGTTATTGATGTCTTGTGTGGTTATTGATGACTTGTGTGGTTATTGATGTCTTGTGTGGTTATTGATGTCTTGTGTGGTTATTGATGTCTTGTGTGGTTATTGATGTCTTGGGTGAGTATTGATGTCTTGTGTGGTTATTGATGTCTTGTGTGGTTATTGATGTCTTGGGTGAGTATTGATGTCTTGTGTGGGTATTGATGTCTTGTGTGGATATTGATGTCTTGTGTGGTTATTGATGTCTTGGGTGAGTATTGATGTCTTGTGTGGTTATTGATGTCTTGTGTGGGTATTGATGTCTTGTGTAGGTATTGATGTCTTGTGTGGTTATTGATGTCTTGTGTGGGTATTGATGTCTTGTGTGGGTATTGATGTCTTGGGTGAGTATTGATGTCTTGTGTGGATATTGATGTCTTGTGTGAGTAGTGATCACAAGCAAGAACACAGAGCACCAACAAGAACACAGAGCACCAACAAGAACACAGAGCACCAACAAGAACACAGAGCACCAACAAGAACACAGAGCACCAACAAGAACACAGAGCACCAACAAGAACACAGAGCACCAACAAGAACACAGAGCACCAACAAGAACACAGAGCACCAACAAGAACATGGAGCACCAACAAGAACACAGAGCACCAACAAGAACACAGAGCACCAACAAGAACATGGAGCACCAACAAGAACACAGAGCACCAACAAGAACATGGAGCACCAACAAGAACACAGAGCACCAACAAGAACACGGAGCACCAACAAGAACACAGAGCACCAACAAGAACACAGAGCACTAACAAGAACACAGAGCACCAACATGAAACACAGAGCACCAACAAGAGCACCAACAAGAACACAGAGCACCAACAAGAACACAGAGCACCAACAAAGAACACAGAGCACCAACAAGAACACAGAGCACCAACATGACACAGAGCATGAACACAGAGCACCAACAAGAACACAGAGCACCAACAAGAACACAGAGCACCAACAAGAACACAGAGCACCAACATGAACACAGAGCACCAAGAACACAGAGCACCACATGAACACAGAGCACCAACAAGAACACAGAGCACCAACAAGAACACAGAGCACCAACAAGAACACAGAGCACCAACATGAACACAGAGCACCAACAAGAACACAGAGCACCAACAAGAACACAGAGCACCAACAAGAACACAGAGCACCAACATGAACACAGAGCACCAACAAGAACACAGAGCACCAACAAGAACATGGAGCACCAACAAGAACACAGAGCACCAACAAGAACACAGAGCACCAACATGAACACAGAGCACCAACAAGAACACAGAGCACCAACAAGAACACAGAGCACCAACAAGAACACAGAGCACCAACAAGAACACAGAGCACCAACAAGAACACAGAGCACCAACAAGAACACAGAGCACCAACTGTAACACTGTAAAAGTGTTTGGTTTAGGTTAATACATACATAGAGTACATGAGTCACAGACAAGGATCGGAGAGGCGCCAGTTGTCTGCCTGAGATCTCACACCTCTAACCGTTAACGACCCCAAGTGACCTGAGGTCAGATCATGAGAATTTCACCTTGCTTCCGCTAAGCTCTTAATTGTAGTCTGGTAGCCTTCAAACAAGCCGACGTTTAAGGAGTGGCTTGGTAGTGCCGGAGGCTATCTATTTGTGGGCGGAGTTAGCTACTAGGTTCCCCAATATAAACTCGGAGAGCTATCCAGCAGAAAGCATTAAGAGACAGAACAGCAGACGACAGCAGAGACGACGTCCCTAGCAGGGAGGCTGTCGGCCGGCAGGGGCGAGACAGTCTCTGTCAAGCTACAGACCCCCCCCCCCCTCTCTATTCAACTTAGACTCAGTCCTCGGTGAGTGAACATTAAGGTGACTTGGTCGTGTTTACATATGTTGTGTGATGATCAGGGGCAGTCAAGTTGTAGGGTTCTCGAATTCTTGGATGATGACTCACTTTGCATATTAAACTGGAACATTTTAATTGAATTGCTAAATTATGATACTTCATGTGAAATATAATTATGAATTTATTATTTAAATTGTGTTTAACTTTGTTCCCTAGAGCTTTGAGTTGAGGTGAGAAAGCCTCTGTGGTTACTGGTTTCATGGTGTAGAATGAGTACATGATAAAGATGGGAACTACTAATAATGAACTCATGATAACATCTTTTGAGAATTTTGTGATACAGGCAAGTTCCATTCCTTGTCTTGTATGTAATGATCATGAATGGATGGTGGCAGCATTTCGTCTTCTACTATCTACTTCTACTATCTACTCTTCTCCTTCTACCTATCTACTCCTCTCCCTCCACCCCTCTCTAAACTCTCACTTTCAACTAATGACCCTCCTCGCTCCTCCGACCTCTCTGCCTCTCACCCCAAGCCCTCACTAATTACTTCACTATTCATTTCTTTCCTTTCGTTTTCTCTTATACGTTTGTGGCAATGATTCTGTATTCTAGAGTTCTCTCTAGAGTTTCGGGTAACTGATCCAGTTACGACGCCTTGTAGTCTTAGCACCTAGGTAGTCAGATACCTAGGTTACAAGGTGTTGAACGAGAGAGGCTGCCTTAGGAACTCTGGGAGTGCTCTAGAATAGTTAGCTAACTGGGGACGGGATAACGGACTAGAGAGAGCTGTTTCCCCCGGCCTCGTTAGTTAACTGGGGGGTGGAATAATGGACAAGATAGAGCTATTTCCCCCACCCCCCGTTACAATGTTGGCAGCGGTGTTGAACAATGTTGTAGGTAGTTGGTGTTCTTTTAACATTGTTCAGTCCCACGTGTCTTTTTGCCGCTCAGGCGCTATCAGGGAGATCTTGACAGGTGTTTATTATTCGCGAGTTAGCGAACTTTTTTTTCAGGTTAGGAGATAGTGATTCTCTGGTGTTGTGGTTTAGTGATTTTGTGAGTTTTGTGGTGTTCAGGGAATGTTCACCAGAACTTGCGTGTGTAGTGATTTATGTTAGTAATAAGATTTGGCGATTTGGGAACTTAGCGGTGTTGGTAGTGCAGGTCAGCTGAGTGTGACAGGTGACCTCGCATGTCCCACGGGGACACCCAGCCACCGCTGGTCTCCAGGTCAGTGGGGAGTGGCAGGTGTAGTTCTTAAATAGATTTTAAGTTGTTTTAGTGGTTCTGCTCAGATTATTGCGATCGACTGTTTTACTCCATTTGAACGCAATAACCCGAGGTGTACTGGTATTGTACAGCATACTTGGGGGAGGCTTAGTATGTCAGTAGACTTCACGTTGGGGACGCTCGACGTTAGATAGTCTGGTCACAGGGGTGGCAAAAGTTTGGAGTTGTTGAACGGCGGAGAAGCTAGGGAAACACTCTGGGTCACGTAGGTGGCTGTAGGTTAAGGGTGGGAGTAACGGTTAATTAAGTACTTAAGATTAGGAACGGTACAGTTAAGTTTAGGCTAGTGTTTTGTCTATTAGTGTTGATTTTTTTTTTGTGTGACAAGTTAAAAATAGTGATGACCTTATTATCTCTTCTCTAACTTTACTCTGTTGCTGTCTTATGTTCCACCAAGTCAATATCATTCAGAGTTAATTGGATTATTAAAATTGAAGTGTAGTTGTTGCCAGGAGGAGAGCTTATAATTGGACTGTGTGAACCCTATACAAACTACAGGGTCACATAACATATCTTGGGAGCACGATATTGTCGCCTTTCTGTTCACCCACAGGTGGGAGCCAGAAGAGAGGAGAGACGCACATACAAAAGAGGGAGACGGCTGCTGTGTACCATACTCACGGGCGTTTATCACCACCACCACGACCAGCCCACTACCTGGAGGTCATGGCTCCACCACCACCACCACCACCCCAGGGGACCCCAAGATGCAGCCCTCTCGGTCGGTCAACATTGGTCTACCCAGTGGACCCCAGGACGGACGGACCCCAGTGGACCCCAAGACTTACGGACCCCAGTGGACCCCAAGACGGACGGACCCCAGTGGACCCCAGGTCGTTCTGCAGACGAACCCAGACGACCCAGTAAAGATGGAAGAGGAACAACGACTCCAGTCTGTCCCACCAACATCGGTCTACCCAGGACGGACCCCAATGGACCCCAGGTCGCTTGTCAAAGACCCATGGGAGGAGGAAGAGAGAAGAAAGAAGAGAGAAGAAAGAAAGAAGAGAGAAGAAGGAAGAAGAAGAAAGAAGAGAGAGAGAAGAAAGAAGATAAGACAAGCTGAGTGAGACACGATGCCTCGTGTCCCTTGCTGGTATCAGCATCATTGCATGGAGCGTAATTGCAAGACAGGATCGTTTGCCTTAACTGGCCGCCCCTCCTACAAGCATGTTGCTCTGTTGAGTGATTCTTCCTGTGTCGTGCGGACTTGATGTGGCTGTCAGAAGTAGCTCTCTGAAGGAGGCGTGCTGGAGCAACAGGGAGGAAGAAGAGTAGGATGGGATTTCTACTGTTGGCAACTATATGAAGGTCTCGAAACTTGTAGTCCCTATAGCTGTGAAGAACCCCAATATACGTCTCTCATGGTGACTGACGTAGGGCCAATTACAGATCAGCTGGGACAACCGAATTCCACGGTCCTGTGCTCAGTTCAAGTAGTAACGGCTTTCGGGTTGACCAAGGGTTGTTGTGCGTTAACGACGGAGAAGCGACGGAGGCAGTTGTGTTGAAGAAATGTGGTACAGGATTATCTACAAGACCAAGCAGTGACGTCGCCCAGCCAGAGACAATGGACGTCTGTCTATATATTTCATTTTTTAGAGTAGGATGATGTATATTTGTTTAGCTAGGATGTATTCTTTTCGTTAATAAAGTTGTCGCACACAGCTAGCTTGCTTTAGCAGTGTTGCAAAAACTTTATTTTCGGGGAGAAGGGGAGATGTAACACTGTAAAAGTGTTTGGTTTAGGTTAATACATACATAGAGTACATGAGTCACAGACAAGGATCGGAGAGGCGCCAGTTGTCTGCCTGAGATCTCACACCTCTAACCGTTAACGACCCCAAGTGACCTGAGGTCAGATCATGAGAATTTCACCTTGCTTCCGCTAAGCTCTTAATTGTAGTCTGGTAGCCTTCAAACAAGCCGACGTTTAAGGAGTGGCTTGGTAGTGCCGGAGGCTATCTACTTGTGGGCGGAGTTAGCTACTAGGTTCCCCAATATAAACTCGGAGAGCTATCCAGCAGAAAGCATTAAGAGACAGAACAGCAGACGACAGCAGAGACGACGTCCCTAGCAGGGAGGCTGTCGGCCGGCAGGGGCGAGACAGTCTCTGTCAAGCTACAGACCCCCCCCCCCTCTCTATTCAACTTAGACTCAGTCCTCGGTGAGTGAACATTAAGGTGACTTGGTCGTGTTTACATATGTTGTGTGATGATCAGGGGCAGTCAAGTTGTAGGGTTCTCGAATTCTTGGATGATGACTCACTTTGTATATTAAACTGGAACATTTTAATTGAATTGCTAAATTATGATACTTCATGTGAAATATAATTATGAATTTATTATTTAAATTGTGTTTAACTTTGTTCCCTAGAGCTTTGAGTTGAGGTGAGAAAGCCTCTGTAGTTACTGGTTTCATGGTGTAGAATGAGTACATGATAAAGATGGGAACTACTAATAGGGAACTCATGATAACATCTTTTGAGAATTTTGTGATACAGGCAAGTTCCATTCCTTGTCTTGTATGTAATGATCATGAATGGATGGTGGCAGCATTTCGTCTTCTACTATCTACTTTCTACTATCTACTCTTCTCTTCTACCTATCTACTCCTCTCCCTCCACCCCTCTCTAAACTCTCACTTTCAACTAATGACCCTCCTCGCTCCTCCGACCTCTCTGCCTCTCACCCCAAACCCTCACTAATTACTTCACTATTCATTTCTTTCCTTTCGTTTTCTCTTATACGTTTGTGGCAATGATTCTGTATTCTAGAGTTCTCTCTAGAGTTTCTGGTAACTGATCCAGTTACGACGCCTTGTAGTCTTAGCACCTAGGTAGTCAGATACCTAGGTTACAAGGTGTTGAACGAGAGAGGCTGCCTTAGGAACTCTGGGAGTGCTCTAGAATAGTTAGCTAACTGGGGACGGGATAACGGACTAGAGAGAGCTGTTTCCCCCGGCCTCGTTAGTTAACTGGGGGGTGGAATAATGGACAAGATAGAGCTATTTCCCCCACCCCCGTTTACAGAACCAGAGCACCAACATTGAACACAGAGCACCAACAAGAACACAGAGCACCAACAAGAACCAACACAGAGCACCAACAAGAACACACAGAACACAGAGCACCAACAAGAACACAGAGCATTCAACAAGAACACAGAGCACCAACAAGAACACACAGAGCACCAACAAGAACACAGAGCACCAACATAACACAGAGCACCACCAAGAACAAGAACAACAGAACACAGAGCACCAACAAGAACACAGAGCACCAACAAGACATGGAGCACAACAGAGCACCAACAGACATGGAGCACCAACAAGAACATGGAGCACAACAAGAACACAGAGCACCAACATAACACAGAGCACCAGAACACAGAGCACCAACAAGAACACAGAGCACCAACAAGAACACAGGCACAACAAGAACACAGAGCATCAACAAGAACACAGAGCACCAACAAGAACACAGAGCACCAACAAGAACACAGAGCACCAACAAGAACACAGAGGAGGCCAAGACCTCGACCACAGGAAGAGGAGCGCTCAGGAAGCTGTAAGAAGAGAATTACTGCGTGAGGAAGGAACATGTAAGCTCATGGAAGAGGAAGAGAGGAAGCAAGAGAGAAATGAGAGAAAATGAGAGTCAACAAGAGAAAGTGACAATCGACAAGAGAACATGAAAATCACCAAGAAAAAGTCAATGAGAGAAAGTGAGTCAACAGAGAAAGTGAGTCAACAAGAGAAAATGAATCAACAAGAGAAAGTGAGTCAACAAGAGAAAGTGAGTCAACAAGAGAAAGTGAGTCAACAAGAGAAAGTGAGTCAACAAGAGAAAATGAGTCAACAAGAGAAAATGAGTCAACAAGAGAAAGTAAGTCAACAAGAGAAAGTAAGTCAACAAGAGAAAATGAGTCAACAAGAGAAAGTGAGTCAACAAGAGAAAGTGAGTCAACAAGAGAAAGTGAGTCAACAAGAGAAAGTAAGTCAACAAGAGAAAATGAGTCAACAAGAGAAAGTGAGTCAACAAGAGAAAGTGAGTCAACAAGAGAAAGTGAGTCAACAAGAGAAAATGAGTCAACAAGAGAAAATGAGTCAACAAGAGAAAATGAGTCAACAAGAGAAAGTGAGTCAACAAGAGAAAGTGAGTCAACAAGAGAAAGTGAGTCAACAAGAGAAAGTGAGTCAACAAGAGAAAGTGAGTCAACAAGAGAAAGTGAGTCAACAAGAGTAAGTAAATTGTCAAGAGAAAGTGAGTCAACAAGAGAAAGTGAGTCAACAAGAGAAAGTGAGTCAACAATAGAAAGTTAATCAACAAGAAAAAGAGTCAACGAGAGAAAGTGAGTCAACAAGAGAAAGTGAGTCAACAAGAGAAAGTGAGTCAACAAGATAAAGTTAATCAACAAGAAAAAGAGTCAACGAGAGAAAGTGAGTCAACAAGAGAAAGTGAGTCAACAAGAGAAAGATAGTCAACGAGAGAAAGTGAGTCAACAAGAGAAAGTGAGTCAACAAGAGAAAGTGAGTCAACAAGAGTAAGTGAATCGTCAGGAGTAAGTGAATCGTCAAGAGAAAGTGAGTCAACAAGAGAAAGTGAGTCAACAAGATAAAGTTAATCAACAAGAAAAAGAGTCAACGAGAGAAAGTCAGTCAACAAGAGAAAGTGAGTCAACAAGAGAAAGGTAGTCAACGAGAGAAAAGTGAGTCAACAAGAGAAAGTGAGTCAACAAGAGAAAGGTAGTCAACGAGAGAAAGTGAGTCAACAGAGAGAAGAGAAAGTGATTCAACAAGAGAAAGTGAGTCAACAAGAGAAGGAGTCAACGAGAGAAAGTGAGTCAACAAGAGAAAGTGAGTCAACAAGAGAAAGGTAGAAAGGTAGTCAACGAGAGAAAGTGAGTCAACAAGAGAGAAGGTAGTCAACGAGAGAAAGAGTCAACAAGAGAAAGTGAGTCAACAAGAGAAAGGTAGTCAACGAGAGAAAAGTGAGTCAAGAAGAAAGAAAGTGAGTCAACAAGAGAAAGTGAGTCAACAAGAGAAAGTGAGTCAACAAGAGAAAGTGAGTCAACAATGAGAAAGTGAGTCAACAAGAGTCAAGTGAAAAGTCAACGAGAAAGTGAGTCAACAAGAGAAAGTGAGTCAACAAGAGAAAGTGAGTCAACCAAGAGAAAGTGAATCAACAAGAAAAAGTAAGAGTCAACGAGAGAAAGTGAGTCAACAAGAGAAAGTGAGTCAACAAGAGAAAGTGAGTCAACAAGATAAAGTTAATCAACAAGAAAAAGAGTCAACGAGAGAAAGTGAGTCAACAAGAGAAAGTGAGTCAACAAGAGAAAGGTAGTCAACGAGAGAAAGTGAGTCAACAAGAGAAAGTGAGTCAACAAGAGAAAGTGAGTCAACAAGAGTAAGTGAATCGTCAAGAGTAAGTGAATCGTCCAGAGAAAGTGAGTCAACAAGAGAAAGTGAGTCAACAAGATAAAGTTAATCAACAAGAAAAAGAGTCAACGAGAGAAAGTGAGTCAACAGAGAAAGTGAGTCAACAAGAGAAAGGTAGTCAACGAGAGAAAGTGAGTCAACAAGAGAAAGTGAGTCAACAAGAGAAAGGTAGTCAACGAGAGAAAGTGAGTCAACAAGAGAAAGGTAGTCAACGAGAGAAAGTGAGTCAACAAGAGAAAGTGAGTCAACAAGAGAAAGGTAGTCAACGAGAGAAAGTGAGTCAACAAGAGAAAGGTAGTCAACGAGAGAAAGTGAGTCAACAAGAGAAAGTGAGTCAACAGAGAAAGGTAGTCAACGAGAGAAAGTGAGTCAACAAGAGAAAGTGAGTCAACAAGAGAAAGTGAGTCAACAAGAGAAAGGTAGTCAACGAGAGAAAGTGAGTCAACAAGAGAAAGTGAGTCAACAAGAGAAAGTGAGCCAACAAGAAAAAGTGAGTCAACAAGAACAAGTGAGATTCAATCATCAGGAATATATATACATAATAGACGTTCATTCAGCTGGACACTCGCAGCCTCGAACCGCTGCCCACATATACTGCTGCCAGCCGCCCCTGCCGACTGAACCTCCAACACCTCACTCAAGGAAGGATCCCCGAAGCACCAATCTGCTGCCCAACTTGAGCTTAATCTCTTCCTGTGGAGAGTACCACTTTGGCAGGACTGTGTTAGGTGACCCCACGTACCCCTTTGCCTTGTGGTTGTTACCTTGCGGTCATTTCGGAGATCAAGATCCTGCGGCCCGGTCTCTGGCCAGGCCTCCTGGTTTATGGTCTGCTGGACGCGGCTGGTTGCGTTCCAACACTGTTCAGTATGGTATTCTCAGCCATGCTTACTGATGCCTTCCGTGACTGTCAGGATGGAATACCCATCAGATACAGGACTGACTGCGGGCTGTTCATCCTCAAGCCCCTGCAGGTCATTACAAAGGTGAAGGAATCTGTTGATTGTTGTCGCCGGAGGCGGCTAGTTTATTGTGCACCCCATATCTCATCCTGTGAGCGGTAGCGCAAAAAAGTATTACAGAGGGCACAAAACGTCTTTATCAGACCTCAATGGAGATTATTACATAAACAATTTCATCTATCCTTCACAATGTCATCACAATAATTACAATGTCATCTAGTTACAGAGAATGTTCTATCTCAAGAGCTATATATTTCCAGTAAGCCATTATACATTAATGGTAGGTCTTATCGCTAATACATAATTGTTTGAGCTATGGAGATATTACAGAGTCATAGGGGAGCTGCTGTTTATTATTAATCTTACCAATACACTATTTGTTTCTTAATCTCATATGTCGTTTATCTACTGGAAGCGAAATATGGATACAGTGCAAGGATTTCTGGTATTTTATCCTTAGTAATTAGATAGGTTGCCATATCATACAGCGTGAGCTTAGATTTATCTCTAAATGGGTCAATTTTATTTATTGTTCCAACCGTCTACCACTCTGTTTACAAAAGTGAATTTTCTTATATTTCTCCGGCAGCTTTGTTTCGTGAGTTTAAATCTATGACCTCTTGTTCTTGAAGTTCCGGGTCTCAGGAAGTAAAGTGTAAAGTGTGTGGACAAAGTAGGACAAAAACAGAGGTTAGAGGCATTAAATATGCAAAAACTAGAAGATAAAGAAGAAAATGAGGCGATATGATCACTACATACAAAATAGTAACAGGAATCGATAAAATTGATAGGGAAGAATTTTCCCAATCAATTTTATCGATTCCTGTTACTATTTTGTATGTTGTGATCATATCGCCTCATTTTCTTCTATCTTCTAGTTTTTGCATATTTAATGCCTCTAACCTCTGTTTGTGTCCTACTTTGTCCACACACTTTACACTTTACTTCATGTAGATCCCTATACAAGCCGAACTGCCAGAGATACCTATAGCCAAGTCTTATTCGAGCTGTGACAACGTCTGTTAGTCTGCAATAAGAGACATCCTGTTCGCTGATGACGGCGCCCTCAACGTCAGCACAGAGCAAATGATGCAGCACAAGATGGACTGCTGCTCACCGGTCTGCGACAACTTCGGTCTCATCATTAGCACCAAAAAGACTGAAATCAAGCAGCAACCCGCACCCGGAACACCCTACCAGACACCCCACGTCACTGTCAAGGGGACAGAACCTGCACGCAGACAACAACTTCACCTATCTTGGCACCACAGTCTCAAGAGCCGTGAACGTAGACGCAGAAGTCGACAACAGGATCACCTGGGCCAGCGTTGCCTTTGGAGGACTCCATGAGAATATCTGGGAGCGAAGGGCCCTCCTCAGCCTTATCACCAAACTGAAGGTCTAACGTGCAGTGGTACTCACCATCCTTCTCTAGCCCAGCGAGATCTGCACTGTCTACAGCAAACACGCCAAACACCTAAATCAACTTTCACTTGAACTGTCTCCGCAGACTTCTCCACATCAGGTGGCAGAACAAAATCCCAGACACGTCTACATTCCCAGCTTCTACAACCCCTTCAGAAAACTCAGGCCACATTGTCCAAATGCCCGACAGCCGATTGTCTAATATTTTGCGATTCAAACTCTGCTCTTTTAGCAATTTAAAACTTCTCCTGGAAGATCGACAGAAAGAACCACATACTAGCAATTATAAATGACCTAATCGGTGCATAGAGTAAAGCGTTTCGAATCTCCTTTGTATGGATACCATCACACATAAATATAACCCATCATAAGGACGCAGACATGAAGCTAAATTAACGTGTAACAAAGATGAAGTTGAATTAGATCTAAGCATCCCCATCTCTGCTGTCTAAACTATATTGTATCAAACACTCAAGCCTTTAAGGGAGAAAATTACTGACTCCCAACGACCTGAAAGCACCAGTATAAAAAGCTATGATTTGTTCAGATCTGAAGCCTAGTAACATGGGCGGCACAAAACGTGGACCAGACTGTGCGACACAGTGGTTGCCAGGATCAGGTTGGGTTACCGTTACTTGTGGCAGGTGGCTACAGGTGACGGATCTCCCAATCCTGAGCACTCCAGGTGCAAACTCTGTGAGCAGGAACTGCGGCATGATCTCCCACACTACATCACCGAATGCCCAGTTATCAGACCATTCAGATCCGTTGGCATGAGGTACCTGAAGCTTTGCAATTACTTTATTCACTCTCGTTTTATTGATGATATCCTCATAATGCACCCAGAGTTTGCCAGTGCAGACCTACTGATCACATGCCTCTGTATGACTAACCATCCTGTGTGACGGGGATCACGCAGCTAGAGTTTGACACACAGTACTCCCCTTCATATTGTCTAGGACAGCTGGACACATGCAGACGTACCTAAATGTGTTAATAGAAAAATAAACAGCTGTTGTATGAAGAATCATGCCAGGGCACGCATTCTGGAACCCCAGTGTGGCGCCAGGGAAGTACCTGGACCCCCAGTGGGGCGCCAGGGAAGTACCTGGACCCCCCCTGGGGCGCCAGGGAAGTACCTGGACCCCCAGTGTGGCGCCAGGGAAGTACCTGGACCCCCAGTGTGGCGCTAGGGAAGTACCTGGACCCCCAGTGTTGCGTCAGGGAAGTACCTGGACCCCCAGTGTGGCGCTAGGGAAGTACCTGGACCCCCAGTGTGGCGCCAGGGAAGTACCTGGACCCCCAGTGTGGCGCCAGGGAAGTACCTGGACCCCCAGTGTTGCGTCAGGGAAGTACCTGGACCCCCAGTGTGGCGCCAGGGAAGTACCTGGACCCCCAGTGTGGCGCCAGGGAAGTGCCTGGACTACCAGTGTGGCGCCAGGAAAGTACCTGGACCCTTAGTGTGGCGTCAGGGAAATACCTGGACCCCAGTGTGGCGCCAGGGAAGTACCTGGACCCCCAGTGTGGCGCCAGGGAAGTACCTGGACCCTCAGTGTGGCGTCAGGGAAGTACCTGGACCCCCAGTGTGGCGCCAGGGAAGTACCTGGACCCCCAGTGTGGCGCTAGGGAAGTACCTGGTGGCCCCCAGTGTTGCGTCAGGGAAGTACCTGGACCCCAGTGTGGCGCTAGGGAAGTACCTGGACCCCCAGTGTGGCGCCAGGGAAGTACCTGGACCCTCAGTGTGGCGTCAGGGAAGTACCTGGACCCCCAGTGTGGCGCCAGGGAAGTGCCTGGACAACCAGTGTGGCGCCAGGAAAGTACCTGGACCCTTAGTGTGGCGTCAGGGAAGTACCTGGACCCCAGTGTGGCGCCAGGGAAGTACCTGGACCCCCAGTGTGGCGCCAGGGAAGTACCTGGACCCTCAGTGTGGCGCCAGGGAAGTACCTGGACCCCCAGTGTGGCGCCAGGGAAGTACCTGGACCCCCAGTGGGGCGTCAGGGAAGTACCTGGACCCCCAGTGTGGCGCCAGGGAAGTACCTGGACCCCCAGTGTGGCGCCAGGGAAGTACCTGGACCCCCAGTGTGGCGCCAGGGAAGTACCTGGACCCCCAGTGTGGCGCCAGGGAAGTACCTGGACCCCCAGTGTGGCGCCAGGGAAGTACCTGGACCCCCAGTGTGGCGCCAGGGAAGTACCTGGACCCCCAGTGTGGCGCCAGGGAAGTACCTGGACCCCCAGTGTGGCGCCAGGGAAGTACCTGGACCCCCAGTGTGGCGCCAGGAAAGTACCTGGACCCCCAGTGTGGCGTCAGGGAAGTACCTGGACCCCCAGTGTGGCGCCAGGGAAGTACCTGGACCCCCAGTGTGGCGCCAGGGAAGTACCTGGACCCCCAGTGTGGCGCCAGGGAAGTACCTGGACCCCCAGTGTGGCGCCAGGGAAGTACCTGGACCCCCAGTGTGGCGCCAGGGAAGTACCTGGACCCCCAGTGTGGCGCCAGGAAGTACCTGGACCCTTAGTGTGGCGCCAGGGAAGTACCTGGACCCCCAGTGTGGCGCCAGGGAAGTACCTGGACCCCCAGTGTGGCGCCAGGGAAGTACCTGGACCCCCAGTGTGGCGCCAGGGAAGTACCTGGACCCCCAGTGTGGCGCCAGGGAAGTACCTGGACCCCCAGTGTGGCGCCAGGGAAGTACCTGGACCCCCAGTGTGGCGCCAGGGAAGTACCTGGACCCCCAGTGTGGCGCCAGGGAAGTACCTGGACCCCCAGTGTGGCGCCAGGGAAGTACCTGGACCCCCAGTGTGGCGCCAGGGAAGTACCTGGACCCCCAGTGTGGCGCCAGGGAAGTACCTGGACCCCCAGTGTGGCGCCAGGGAAGTACCTGGACCCCCAGTGTGGCGCCAGGGAAGTACCTGGACCCCCAGTGTGGCGCCAGGGAAGTACCTGGACCCCAGTGTGGCGCCAGGGAAGTACCTGGACCCCAGTGTGGCGCCAGGGAAGTACCTGGACCCCCAGTGTGGCGCCAGGGAAGTGCTTGGCGCCGGGCTGTCGTCAAGTTGTATAAGATCACTACTGACACGGGTTGTACACACACACACACACACACACACACACACACACACACACACACACACACACACACACACACACACACACACACACACACACACACACACACATATAGCCAGCCGGCCGAGCGGACAGCACGCTGAACACGTGATCCTGTGGTCCCGGGTTCGATCCCGGGCGCCGGCGATAAACAATGGGCAGAGTTTCTTTCACCCTATGCCCCTATTACCTAGCAGTAAATGGGTACCTAGGAGTTAGTCAGCTGTCACGGGTTGCTTCCTGGTGTTTTTTTCGGGGGGGGGGGAGAAGTAGTAGTTAGAAACGGTTGATTGACAGTTAGGAGACGAGACCAAAGAGCCAGAGCTCAACCCCCGCAAGCACAAATAGATGAGTACAAATAGGTGACTACACACACACACACACACACACACACACACACACACACACACACACACACACACACACACACACACACACACACACACACACACAAGAATGAGAGGAGAAGATGAACCAGCAATGCTTGATTTGATATTTACCCTAAATGAATGGGATATAAGGGAAGTTAAGATGGAAGCGCCCTTGGGAATGAGTGACCACAGTGTATTGAACTTTGAGTACCTGGTAGAGCTAGGACTTATCTCCCCCCAAAAAGATCTAGGAATCAAAAGGCTGGCATACCGAAAGGGGAATTATGAACAGATGAGAAGTTTCCTAAGTGAAATACCTTGGGACACAGACCTCAGAGACAAGTCTGTACAGGGTATGATGGACTATGTTACCCAAAAGTGTCAGGAGGCAGTAAACAGGTTCATCCCGGCCCAAAGGGAAAAATCCGAGAAGCAACAGAAGAATCCATGGCATAATAGGGCATGTATGGAAGCGAAGAAACTGAACAAAAAGGCGTGGAGGAACTTCCGGAATAACAGAACACCAGAAAGCAGAGAGAGATACCAGAGAACCAGGAATGAGTACGTCAGGGTGAGAAGAGAAGCAGAGAAAAGTTTTGAAAATGATATAGCAAACAAAGCCAAGACCGAACCAAAGCTACTCCACAGTCACATCAGAAGGAAAACAACAGTGAAAGAACAGGTAATGAAACTTCGAACAGGCGAGGACAGGTATACAGAGAATGACAGAGAGGTGTGTGAGGAACTCAACAAGAGGTTCCAGGAGGTCTTCACAATAGAACAGGGTGAGGTCACTGTGCTAGGAGAAAGGGAGGTAAACCAGGCAGCCTTGGAGGAGTTCGAAATTACGAGAGAGGAGGTCAAGAGACACCTGCTGGATCTGGATGTTAGAAAGGCTGTTGGTCCAGATGGGATCTCACCATGGGTACTGAAAGAGTGTGCAGAGGCACTTTGCTTGCCACTCTCCATAGTGTATAGTAAGTCACTAGAGACGGGAAACCTACCAGAAATATGGAAGACGGCGAATGTGGTCCCAATATACAAAAAGGGCGACAGACAAGAGGCACTGAACTACAGGCCAGTGTCCTTGACTTGTATACCATGCAAGGTGATGGAGAAGATCGTGAGAAAAAACCTGGTAACACATCTGGAGAGAAAGGACTGCGTGACAAATCGCCAACATGGGTTCAGGGAGGGGTAAATCTTGCCTTACAGGCTTGATAGAATGTTACGATCAGGTGACACAGATTAAGCAAGAAAGAGAGGGCTGGGCGGACTGCATTTTCTTGGATTGTCGGAAAGCCTTTGACACAGTACCGCATAAGAGGCTGGTACATAAGCTGGAGAGACAGGCAGGTGTAGCTGGTAAGGTACTCCAGTGGATAAGGAAGTATCTAAGTAATAGGAAGCAGAGAGTTACGGTGAGGGGTGAGACCTCCGATTGGCGTGAAGTC